AACGCAGTTAGCGCTGCCCAAGTTCAGTGAGGAGTTGATTGAAGTGCTGGAAGACAATCAAGTTCAGCTTCAAAACATGATCACTTCTAAGTACATTGACTTCTTCCGCGACGAGGTCTTCAACTGGCAGTCCAAACTTATGACCGCTGATCAGGTTATCTCTATTTGGTCTGAGGTGCAACGTGTTTGGTCCTACCTCGAGGCCATCTTTGTCGGCTCTGAGGATATCAAAGAACAACTTCCCGAGGACTCAGAGCGGTTCGGACGCATTGACGAGGCCTTTCGCGCAATTATTACTGACGTGGAGGACAGTCGCAATGTCATCGAGACCACTAGTCGACCCCACCTCTACGAACGCCTTGAAAAGATTCAGGGTGAACTAACGCTTTGTGAAAAAGCGCTTACCGAGTACTTGGAGACGAAGAGGCTGGCTTTTCCGCGTTTCTACTTCGTCTCACCTACGGACTTGTTGGACATCCTGGCCAACGGCACTGAGCCTGAGTTGGTGATGAAGCATCTAACCAAGCTCTTTGACAGCATCGCAGCCCTGCAGTTTCGCAAGAAGTCTGATGGCAAGAAAAACACCAAAGTCGCCCTCGTCATGGAAGCCAAGGACGGTGAGGTAGTGACCTTGGCTACACCCTGTGACCTTGAGGGGAAGGTGGAGAACTGGTTAAACAAACTCCTGAATGAAATGCGGGCCACCATGCTGCACTATCTGGCTGACAGTGTAAGTACCTACGAGGAGAAACCGCGGGAACAGTGGCTGTTCGAGTACCCAGCGCAAGTTTCTCTGGCCGGCTCACAGATCGGTTGGGCGGCGGAGGTGACGCTTAACTTTGCCCGCCTGGAGGAAGGTTACGAGAACGCCTTGAAAGACTTCAACAAAAAGCAAGTCTCCCAGCTGAGTGCCCTTATCGGCCTCCTGTTAGGTGAACTAACGGGCCAGGAGCGTCAGAAGGTGATGACTATCTGCACCATTGATGTGCACAACCGCGACGTAGTAGCTAAGTTAATTAATCAGCGAGTGAACAGTGCTCAGGCCTTTGCTTGGCTCAGTCAGTTGCGTCATCGGTGGGACGAGGTGGCCAAGGACTGCTATGCCAACATCTGTGACGCTCAGTTCCGCTACGCACACGAATATCTAGGCAACACACCACGCCTAGTCATTACACCACTGACAGATCGGTGCTATATCACGCTCACCCAATCACTGCATCTGACCATGAGTGGTGCACCGGCCGGTCCCGCAGGAACCGGTAAAACCGAGACTACTAAAGATCTGGGTCGTGCTCTTGGCGTGATGGTCTACGTCTTCAACTGTTCCGAGCAGATGGACTACAAGTCCTGTGGCAACATCTACAAGGGACTGGCTCAGTCGGGGGCATGGGGCTGTTTCGACGAGTTCAATCGTATCTCCGTGGATGTGCTTTCGGTAGTGGCAGTGCAGGTGAAGTGTATTCAAGACGCCATCCGTGATAAACGTACTAGATTTGACTTCCTGGGCGAGGAAATCAGTCTGGATCCAGCGGTGGGCATCTTCATCACTATGAATCCAGGCTACGCAGGGCGTACAGAGCTACCAGAGAATTTGAAGGCCCTGTTTCGACCCTGCGCCATGGTCGTGCCCGACTTTGAGCTGATTTGTGAAATCATGCTGGTAGCAGAGGGCTTCCAGGACGCTCGTTTGCTGGCGCGCAAGTTCATCACACTGTATCAATTGTGTAAAGAGCTGCTCTCTAAGCAGGACCATTATGACTGGGGTTTGAGAGCAATCAAATCGGTCCTGGTGGTTGCAGGTGCCTTGAAGCGTGGAGACCCGAAACGTCCGGAGAACCAAGTTCTTATGAGGGCCCTGCGTGACTTCAACCTACCGAAGATGGTAGCTGAGGACATCCCCGTCTTTATGGGCCTCATTGGCGATCTCTTCCCGGGCCTAGATGTGCCCCGAAAGCGGGATCTTGACTTTGAAAAGGAGGTGCGCAAAGCAACGCTCGATTTGAAGCTACAAGCGGAGGACAACTTTGTTCTCAAGACTGTCCAGTTGCAGGAGCTCTTGGTGGTGCGTCATTCAGTCTTTATCCTCGGCAACGCCGGCACCGGAAAGTCAATGGTTTGGAGGGCTCTACATCGTACTAACGCCAACCTCAAACTAAAACCTACGGCAGTTGATTTGGATCCCAAGGCCGTGAGTAATGATGAGCTCTTTGGTGCAATTAGTTCGACCACTAGGGAATGGAAGGATGGTCTGTTTTCTGTGGTGATGCGCGACCTGGCCAACATGACGCATCCGGGACCCAAGTGGATTGTTCTCGACGGGGACATTGACCCTATGTGGATTGAATCCCTGAACACGGTCATGGACGACAACAAGGTGTTGACACTGGCAAGCAATGAGCGTATCCCGCTGACACCCAGTATGCGCCTGCTCTTTGAGATCAGTCAGCTGAAGACTGCAACACCGGCAACAGTATCACGAGCCGGTATACTCTACATCAATCCCCAGGTAAAGTCGCAGTTTTTGGAATCTTTTTCTACGAAATAATGCTGTTTGATAAGTAGACTATAAAGCGGGTCACTAGGGAATGTCTGCTTTCGAGTTCCGTTATACTCACCAAAAAAATATTTAAATCTGTTCAAAACGCCCCTAATGATGAAGTATGCCTGGTGGATTCTAGATTGATTGCTTAGGAAATCCTGTTTGGGCAGTCATCTTAGTAGATCGGAATTGGTGCATTCCATACGTTGCAGTAGACTGGGCCGGTCACTTGACCTAATTGTGATTGAAATTACGGCTCCCGCTGAAGACCTAAAAGTGGAGGTGGTTAGAGCGTTGGTTGTACAGAGCTGGATAATTTGAACGGTTAAATGCAGAGGGTGAGCATTTACGCGATTTTTTATCTCACTGTCAACCGAATCGGAGCATTCTGAGGCATAGGCGGTACGGTGCGTACAGTTCCCCGGCACAGACACAGGACTTGGCAATGCGTATGGGAAAGTTTTGGAATTTAGCTGCGAAGTCTAAGTACGGAAAGCCCTTTAGAGAAACACCAGGATAAGCTAAATCTCTTTTTGCACGATTGTCTAATGACTAGAATGATTCAAAATGAGTGCGAGTGAGCAATTAACATCGACCATCGGAATTGATGAACTTCAGTTCGATGAAGTGCTTATGACCCGTCTGGTAGACCCCAGTGGACCCCAGTAGACCCGTGTGTGCATATGTTTGTGTTTCCGGCCCAGCTGGTGGTTAGGGTTATGCTTGGCTGCATGAAGGAAAATAAGCCCGAAACCATTCGATATCAAGTTACCCCCAAGCGCTATCGTACCCCCCTGATACATACACACTCCTCGCAGAAAGTTGCATAGGGATTAATGCTATATGCAGCAAGGGAGTTCCGATAACAACACGGGATATTTATAGGCGATAAGGTTAAGACGGCTAACCCTAACAGCTACAATCTTCCAGACCCGGTTCCTTAGGAGATGGGAGAA